TCTTTCCCTCTAAGGTAGGATCAGAAGGTGGTAGGTTTCCCCACACAGCCTTCACATGTCACTTATTTACATGTAAATCCAGCAGCTGTTTTTCAAGTACCCACTGTGTGGACAGCCCTCCTGCAGTGACCCACCTGACACGCTTACCCCTGATGTGTTCTCACAGGCTTATCTGTGTGTGAGACAGATGCGCTCGTGTTATCCTCCACTTAAAGATGAGTGGCTCTCCAGGGCCTACCAGGTAGTGTCCGCATCCTCCGTACAGACGCAGAGCCCTGCTCCTGTGGTTCCCGTCTTCTCCCCTGACACACTCATCACGAGTCACGTGCTTGACTCCCTGTCTCCTGCGTGTTCACACACCTGCCTATTGGCTCGCGTCTCTCCCCGTCCTGGGAGTTGGAGCTGACTCTGGTACCTGGCCCGTGGTTGTGTGGGTGATGTGTAGGTGTCAGCCACCGGCCCCGCTGCCTCAGGCGGCCTCCTGCCCCTGAGCAGCATCACGTCTTGTTTCACGGCAGGAGGGAGTGCTGGACAGAGATGGGAGGGTTAGAAGGTAAAGTTGGGAAGCTGCTAGGCTCCGGGGGACTGTTAGTATTGGATTCGAGCCCTGTGCCACCCCTGTTGGACACGGAGAGTCTTACTCAGTGCAACATGAGAAGCCTCCAGGGGAGGATCTCAGCAGACGGCCCCATTTTCGGTGGTCTCTGCCCTCAGGAGCCATCTTTAACAAGCTCTCCCGGAAGCCGCAGGACCCCTGTGTGACTCAGGAGGGCTGAGGAGCAGCCGGCTGTTAGGAAGAGCCGGACCAGCCCCTCTGTTCCTCGTGCGCCTGCCCGGCAAGGTTCTGGCGGCCTCCCTGGCCTTGTGTTTTGTGTTGTACAGTTGTGCCTGCCTGTAGCCACAGAGAACTTAGGTGCAGAACCTCCTGAGTCCAACCGGCCTTTCAGACCAGAGAAGCTCAGAGTTTGCCTTTGCTTTGTTTTCTGGTGAGTGGTAACGAGTCTGCAGTGCTCTCCTCGCCATGTCTGGATTTCCACCTAGTTTTAGGACAGTCGCTCTGGTGAAGCAATGCCTGAAACGGAGCATCGGCTGACTAGGGGGTTTTGGCCTCCATGTATACATAACTGCTAATACCTTAGCGTATAAACACCACACAGTTGAGCTGTTTACTGTTAAAATATTGACTGTGAGGCTTTGCAGCGTTAGAACTGGTCTTTCTGGTTTCTGTGTCCGCATGAGATGCTCCATCACCTCAGCAGGAAGCGCTCAGGACTCAGA